TGTATATTTCCCTGGCAATTTTACATGCTCTTTGGAACAGAATGTGCTATTTGTATATTATTCCAACAGGTTTGGTAGGTTGCTGATATTTTTTTTGTGTGTGTCAGGAGTGACTTGAGAAACTGCAAGTCGCTTCTCGTGAGAGAGAATTGGCAGTTTGCAAGGACATTACCCCAGGGATGCCCGGATGTTTTGATGTTTTACCATTCTTGTGGGAGGCTTCTCTCATGTTCCTGCATAGGAAGCTGGAGCTGACAGAGGGAGCTCATCTGGACTCTCCCTGGATTCGAACCTCTGACCTGTCTTCATTCCTGCCAGCACAAGGGTTGAACCCATTGTGCCACCAGAGGCTCCAGGTTGCCGATACCGTGGTGTGATTTTACATGACAATGAGGCAATTTCCAGCTGAGACAAAATCAGATCTGCTGTAGCTTTGGTAGACTTTTAGAAGTTGAGCTTTGCTTACACATATTTTAATGTTTTTATTTGTTTTAGAAAAAAAGGGGGAATAGAGTTTATTTCTTACTTCTAGTTGGCAGCGGTTGGGCGAAAGCAATAGGGTGGGAATACTATAATTTTTTCTGTGTTTGATTCTTCTGTTTTTTTGTTTTTATTTTAATGTCTGTTTTTATTTTATTAATTTGTCAGATTTAAACTACATTTTTGAAAATATAATAAAATTGTTTTTGTAAAGCTGAGATTTGCAGACACCTATGCTATCAAAAGTAGTTAATCATATTGGAATCTCCATCATTGGCACTGAATTTAGGGCAGAAATTGTAAACCTACTTGGCTTTTTCCCAGCACTACACATTTATTGAATATAAAGCTGTACTCCCAAGTTATGGTTTCATTTTTAATGTTAGACATCTAAGTAATAAATATACCATTGATTAAATGTAAGAGAGGGGCATTTCATAAATATATTGTTTATGATTCTCAGTGGCTCCCATTCAAAGGTTTCGCTTGGCAAAAGCTGTTATTTTTACATACATGCATACATTCCCTTACATAAAAAACTTATGAGTCATAAATAGTTCTTTAAAAACATAATAAAAACAGCAAGAATATATCTGCATCATAAATCCCTCTCTTGCTAATACAATGCACGTTCCAATGAAATTAGTGGGATTTACTTACGAATAACCAGAAGGAAGAAGATTGGGTTGCTCCTAGGAGAGAATAGTTCTGGAACATGGCCATACAGCCCAGAAAACTCACAGCAACCCAGTGATTCCGGCTATGAAAGCCTTTGGCAACACAAGGGAGAACATTGGTTCAAGTTTTCTTCATGATGGTGTTTCATTTCCCTCTATGCCTCCCATCTTGTTTTGTAATCCATAATCTTTATTTTGTTCTTTAAAATGCATTGACTGGATCCGGATTTTCACAATGAAAGGGCTCCTTCAAGTACTATAGAGGGTCACTGATGACCACATCTGAGGTCCCATTTGATCCTGGAAGCCTCATTTTGTGTTTTTTCAGACAGGAAGCTGCACAAGTGTGCACAAACTCATGCATTTGCAATGAAAAATGAGGGAGCCTTTAGCCACATATGATCTATCCTGTGTAGGGTCATTGGAGAGAATTGATTACTGATAGTAGGGGAGATGTCTCCATTTGGTGGTACAAAAAACAGAGATGCTAGATCAGTGTTTCTCAACCTGGGGTTGGGACCCCCCTGGGGGGGGGGGTCATGAGGAGATGTCAGAGGGGGTCACCAAAGACCATCAGGAAACAGTATTTTCTGTTGATCATGGGGGTTCTGTTTGGGAAGTTTGACCCAATTCCTTCATTGGTGGGGTTCAGAATGCTCTTTGATTGTAGGTGAACTATAAATCCCAACAATTACAATTCCCAAATGTCAAGGTCTATTTTCCCCAAACTCCACCAGTGTTCACATTTGGTCATATTGAGTATTCATGCCAAGTTTGGTCCAGATTCATCATCATTTGAGTTGACAGTGCTCTCTGGATGTAGGTGAACTACAACTCCAAAACTCAAGGTTTTGGAGTTGTAGTTCACCTACATCCAGACCCCTTTGGCCCACCAAACCCTTCCAGTATTTTCTGTTGGTCATGGGAGTTCTGTATGCCAAGTTTGGCTCAATTCTATCATTGGTGGAGTTCAGAATGCTCTTTGATTGTAGGTTAACTATAAATTCCAACAACTACAACTCTCAAATGCCAAAATCAACCAAATACCCCCAACCCCACCAGTATTTAAATTTGGGCATATGGAGTATTTGTGCCAAATTTGGTCCAGTGAATGAAAATACATGCTGCATATCAAATATTTATATTACGATTCATAACAGTAGCAAAATTACAGTTATGAAGGAGCAACAAAAATAATGTTATGGTTGGAGGTCACCACAACAGGAGGAACTGTATTAAGAGGTTGCTGTATTAGGAAGGTTGAGAATCACTGTACTAGATGCTCTCTGCTGATAAGGGGAAATCTTTAACCTCTTTCTGCTCCAAACAGCCTCTATGGCCATTCTTGCTTTTGTATTGCCATTAATAGCCCAAAAGCAACAATGTCAGCTCCTTCTGGGTTACTAGAATGAGAAAGGAACCAAGTCTGCCTGCTGACTCAGTGTTCCAGTCACAACAAAAGCAGTGATCCTGGCAGTGCTCTTAGTGTCCCTGTGTTACCAGAGTGTTCTTCAGCTATAACCACTGGGGGTTATGGAATTGTACATTAAAGCTTCAGGGTGATCAGCAACCCCGGGGCCATAGTTTGTGCACACAACATTAGTGGAGTGACTAAAATCCTGTAGAAGTTTCCCCTGGAATTCCTAGAGTCATTTTAATATTGTTTTGGAGGATCTGCCAGCTCTGCAGAGCAGTGTTTTAGAAGCTTCAGGATGAAGGAGTTGACAAACTCACCTTTCCTCTTCTTCCTTCCATAGGAACATCCTGTAATTTTAGTCCTACTCATGAAAACTCTGTATCTATTGCAGAAACACAAATAAAAAACTATAGAAATACAAAATTTAAAAAATTACACTTGTGTAAAAGGCAGTTTATTTCATAAATACGTATTTACAGCTTTTATTAAAATATGTCTCTGGTTTTGTTGAAATGTCTCTTTTCATTCATTCTAATATCAATTTCAATGTAGTATATTACCACACTCGAATCGTGCAGATAATACCGTTTTTCAAAATAGAATTTACTTCTGAATAGATATATACAGAATTAGAAGACATTTCTTGAGATGAAAATAATGTCTAGGTAAAGTTCTGGAGTAGTGCATGCCATATAGAATCATAGAATCACAGAGCTGGAAGAGACCTCATGGGCCATCTAGTCCAACCCCCTGCCAAGAAGCAGGAAAATCTCATTCAAAGCACGCCCGACAGATGGCCATCCAGTTTCTGTTTAAAAGCCTCCAAAGAAGGCAGAGAGTTCCACTGCTGAACAGCTATCACTGTCAGGAAGTTCTCCCTCATGTTCAGGTGGAATCTCCTTTTGCTGAATCCTATTCATGCCTACTCCCAGATTTAGAACATGTGTAACTTGATCCTATACATGTTTACTTAGAATAAATCCCATTGTATTGAATTGGATTTATCCGTTTACCTTGATTTCTCTGAACTATATAATTTTATTTATGTCAGATGCAACTTATAGACATGTTCTTTCCATGTACTTCTTGCAGTTTTGTTTCAAGAGCATGATATTTTTGGGAGAAAATAATTTGGCAGCATGATTTGCTGGGAAGGATGGTGAACAATGTTCTAGATTTTTAAGCATATGCAATAAAAGTTTTTGTTAATATGTTCTCATCCTGTTTTAGCTCTTTTATTCAGTCAATCAATCAAAGCTTTGTTACAGTCCAAAGACCCAAATAGCTCCACAAAGATACACAAAGTACGTACAGATTAATAAACTGATTAAACTGATTAAAACGCAGGACGACACGCTAGACAAAGTACATATAAACAAGAACAAGAACCCTGCAAGTAAATACAAGGGCAAGTTTTAGCCTGTGTGTAATACAGGAAGTTGTTTCATCCTGCCTACCTCAGAGAGAGACTTGGCAATGACCAAAGTCACATGGGGGAGGTATTGGGTTTTAGATCTTTTGTTGACGAAACACTAGGAGAAGGGGTAAGATGCAAGTAAGGTAATAAAAAAAATAGAAACTCAGTAACCAATCAAAGTGATTGATTTTCTGAGGCTGGCTTCCATTAAAGAAAACATTGCAAATATGACAGAGATAATTCTCAGAAATAGTGACATCTCTAAGAATGCAACTTATTCCTTCAGCGTCTCATTTAGTTCCTCTTATAGTCATGTGGTTGGAATATTGCTACTGAAGATTTTAAAAATACTAAATCCACTTCTTCTTGAGGATGTGCCAGTATAGTGAATTCAATAAGAAACTATGGGAATGTCCTTTGTGAGCATAAACAGCTGCATATATAATTGTTATTGCTGAATCTTCACCGTCCTTGAGGTGAGAGGACTGAAGTGCCAAGGCTGTATTTCCACAAAAAATTCACTGTAGGTAATGGTGTTATAAAACTTGGCATAGGTTACTGAAGAAAGTTTTGCATCAGCTAAGTTTTTTTAATGGGTATTGACTCCTTGAACTTTTTGTGTGTGTTGTCATTTTCTTAAGAAGTCTGTATTTGCTCTGTTTCAGTTCCTTCATTCTGTTTATTAGTTTATTTCCTGACTGTACCAGACTGCCCATTAATGTGTTTACAAAGTATATATTGGGTTGTTATAGTTTTTTTGAAGTCTCACAACCTCTGAATATGCTTGCCATAGATGCAGGCAAAACATCAGGGGAGAATGCTCCTAGAACATGACCATATAGCCCAAAAAACCTACAACAACTCAGTGATTCTTGCCATGAAAGCCTTTGACAAAGTATATACTATTCAAATTGTATACAATAGTGGGAGAGGTTCTTGGTATCCTTCTTAGAGCACATATCATGCATCTTAATTTGACCTTTCTCCCCCTTTCTCTTTTCTTTTCTAGGTACCTGATTAATGTCACCTTTGAAGGAAGGAATTTGTCTTTCAGTGAAGATGGCTACCAGATGCACCCCAAGTTGGTTATCATTCTTCTGACAAAGTCAAGGACTTGGGACAGGGTAGGATATTTTTGGCAACTTTCAGACTGGGACTGGGAGCAGACAGGTAAACATTCTCTCCTTTCAGGAAGTGGATCGGGCTCTTTGTTTACCATCTGGAGGTTCATTTGGAACAAATGATTAATTCATGAATTAAAGGCTTGGGCTGGTGTTTTAGAAAGTAATTACTTATAGAGAAGTTATCAGATGGTGTTAGAATTGCATTTAAAAATAAAACCTCTTTCTACTTTTCTTTAAAAGTGACTAAAACAGTTACATTTTACAAACAACCTAGGAATTCCACAAGCTATTAGGTAATGGTATAAAACACACCAGAATAGTGAATGAGGTTGCACACACACAGCGAAACTTTAAAAACACTTTAAACAATGAGATAGAATAACAAAGGTATTTGAGTTATATTATTATTTTACAATCATAATGTAACTCAAATACCTTTGTGATTCTATCTCATTGTTTTAATTGTTTTGAAAGTTTCGCTGTGTGAGTGACTTCACTAAGTTACATTATTACTTTACAGTTATAATGTAACTTAGTTATAGATTAGTTGTTCCAAAAATGAATTAATTGCAAGTAACTACTTAATTGTAATGAGTTATGTCCATGGTCTGTAAAAAAAAAAAGAGCACTCTCAGTTAAACTCAGATCATTATCCAGTTATCACCACTGGCAATTGGTGGCTTCCCCATCAGCAAGGAAGTGAATCCACTCTGGATTTTAGTCTGAACTTTAAAGGAGCTATCTAAGGTATTAACCCCCCCCCCCAAAGAATAAATTCAGCACCCAAGAAACCTATTTTAATTTTTGAACCAATAATTCACTGGTCCTTGAATATAGAAACTGACAGCCACCACTGGTCTTTGTTCCAGTTTGCCTGAAGGCCGGCCATTTCCCATTACACAGAAATGCAAGGGACTTGATGATGCAGAAAAGAATGATATCTTCCTGCTGCTGTAAAAGATGTCATGAGGGGGATGGGGGGTGTGAACGGCGAAATTTGGAAGACAGGAGATTCCTCATTGCTAGTCTAAAATTCCCATAGGTTTTCCTTTATTCATCCTCCTTATATGTCTGTATAGGATAATGCAAGCACCACTGAAATGCTGCATAGGGTTGTTGCTGTTTTGTTTGACCAAGATCTAGTGGATATTACCAATCTAGTGCTCATGTGGTCTTACAGTAACAGTGATCACTTTACATTTCACATACAAGTCAACATACAAGTGAGGTATACTGCTGATATACACAATGATGTGCTGGAAAATAAGGCAGGGTTAGGTCAGTTGTAAGAGCTATCAAATTGTCACTTCTTCTGCTAATGAGCATAAATGGACAAATATTGATACTGCCATCCGCGGTTGTATGCCTGCTTATCTGGGAGTAAGACCCATGGCAAACATGTATAGGATTGCGCAGAAAGCTCCAGTAAAGTTAGCTTTTGTGTATGATCACTACATAAGACAGAAAACATTTCAGTTTCATTGAATTGGTTGTATCATGACCTGCTGGCATGAGGTCTGTGGTCATCAGCATTGCTCTGAGGTGAGCACAATAATGCCATGGTAGTTATGAAAGCAAGATCCCAAAAATAAAATAAAATAAACAAGGAAGCCTTGTCATTACTGTTTCTCTGTGCTCGATATCTTGCATGATCATGGTTAGTTGTCCATTTCATAAAATTCCGTTCTCCAGCATCTTCTCTTCTAGAATGATACTTGTATTCCTAGCCAATTTGACATTCTCCACACAATGGTTTTTTTACTGTATATTTTTTCATTTGAAAATGCATTTAGTTGTAAACTCAGGGAATGATCCTTCGTACTAACACAGGATTATGCTTGTGGGTCCAAGAAACTAAATAACATTCTAGCATTTTTATAGCTACTGAGTGAATAGACTTTCAAACTTCTCCTTCAAAATAGAATTTATATATTGTACAGTACATTACTCTGAAATGAAATTTTGTTTGGACAGCTGCAAGGCTGTTCGGTATCTCCTGCTCATGTACTACCTCGCTACCATACCCTTGAAAATAATTGGGAATAAAGCTCAGTAATTGCTACAGATATCACCAACATGTTCTTGCCAAATTAACAGTGAAAATGCAATGCTCAAAATCACATCTTCACAAAATGTGTTCTTGTAGAGCAGCTAAACTACTGTAGGGTGGATTTTTGGATGGTTTGGGGATGGGTTTTCTTTTCTTTCTTGCCCCAAACCAAAATAAAAAATGAGAAGGTGCCAGGCATTTTGGAGGCTCCCAAGGTGGGTGAGGATATTTATTTATTTCTGTTATAAGCCACCTTTCTCCCAGAGTGGAGCCCAAAGCAGTTTACATCATTAATTAATTAAAACAAAACAATAATGTATTGAAAACAATTAAAATGTTAAAATCTAAATCAACATATAAAATTATTTGGAAAAGACCATCTTTTTATTTTTTTTAAAAAAAGGCAACCTCCCCCAACATAAAGCCTGTCTTGTGAGTAATTACATATTAAAAGGTTGCTTAAACAGAAGTCTTTGTCTCCCAAAGAAAGGAGAGCAGGGAAGGGATGGACAGCCTAGTCTCTCAGAGCCAGAGGGTGAGAGCAGTTACTGAGAAGGCTTTCTTTTGCATCCTCAGCAAGTGAGCTTGTGATGGTGGCAGGACCAAGAGAAAGCCCCCCCCCCCCCCGTAGTTCTTAAGATTCTGGCAGGCTCAAATATGAAGATAAGGTCTTTCAGATAGACCTACGTTGTTAAAATGGCCACAGCCCATGGTCCTTTATATCACAACATTGATCAGAACTAACCAGCATAACCACTGACAAGCACAGCATGAACAGTTATGGGAGGAGCAGGTCAAAATATCTAATGGGCATGAGATTAACTATTTATTTACTGTATTTATACTCCACCCTCTCAACCCTGTAGGGGACTCAAGGCGGCTTACATACATAGGCAACCATTAGATGTCAAAAACACACATAGTAAAACATAAGCATTAAAACACATAAAAGCTTAAAACCAATTATTTAAAATCAAGCAATCCAATATCGTAGTCAGTGGCTGCTCTAATTTGTCGTTGCACTATTTCATCTTTTCTTATTGCATTGATAGATTACTCACGGAATGCTTGAACATCCACATTTTTCGCCTTTTCCTAAAGGTCAGGAAGGATGGGGCTGATCTAATTTCACCCGTGAGTGAGGGGCCACCACTGAGAAGGCCCTGTCTCTCATCCCCACCAAACACACCTGTGAAGGAGGAGGGATCGAGAGCAGGGCCTCCCCAGATCTCAATTTCTTTTCCAGCTCAAAGAGGAAGATATATTCAGACAGGTAAACTGGGTCAAAACTGTTTAGGGTTTTATAGGCTAAAGCTAGCACTTTGAATTGTGCTCGGTAGCAGACTGACAGCCAATGGAGCTGATGCAACTGGAATGCTATCCTCTCCCTGTATGCTTCTCCAGTGAGCAGCCTGGCTGCCGCCCATTGAACTATTTGAAGCTTCCAAACAGTCTTCAAGAAAACACCACATAGAGTGCATTGCAGTAGTCTATTTGGGATGTAACAAGAACCTGGACCACTGTGGCTAAGTTCTGACTATACTTACATAGCCTATAAATTAGTCAAGATAAATTGTTAGTCATCCTGGTCAGGTATATCCATACAGATAAATATATTTTGCAAATGTGGACCAAAGGATCATGAAAAGCATATGTGCATGTTCGGAAACTTATGCTTACACACATGCAGATGCAGTTGGTGAATATTTCATGCATCTAAAGAATGTATTCTAACCCATGAGAGGTCATGCTAGTATATATCTATTAGTCTTTTAAGTTGTCATGAGTCTCTTGATTTATGTTGGATGCAGAAACATGGTCACCCCTCTGCAATTTGTCACTATCAATGGGTAAAAAGTCAAAGAAAGGCATGTAGCACTGAGCAATGCATCATCAGCATAATGGTGACAGCTCACACCTTTCTTGAGTAAATTCCCTCATTGTGGTAGCCTTGTGTATATTTTAAAGGGGATGAATGACAGTAAGAATGACCCCCTCAAAAAACACAGCACAGATGAGTGGATAATGAGAGTCACTAGACAACTACATCTTCTTGCTGTGCTTTTCTTGAAAGGTGTGAAGAGAAGCAGGGAAAGATTCAGATGGTATTCTGTCCAGTCCTGCAATGTCATCTAGCCACTTAGATATAGATAGATTTAGCCTTACCAATAGATATATCTAATCCTTCTTAATCGCTAAGAATATTGTAATTGGTATTTACCAAAGCTGAACCAATTTCATAGGATTATCTGAACTCCTTGTGATAATCATACTTAAGTCTTTTTCTCAGAGAAGAGTTTTCTCTCATCAAGCAACTTAATAATTATTTCTCTGCAGTCTTTTTTAACCAACAAATACAAATATAACTTAAAACAAAGTACAAATAGAAATTCACTAGTTGCGTCTTTTTTTTTACTTGCACACTTCATTTAACTCCCTCTGAAATGGTCATGGCAGTAGAGTGAGTTCATTCATTCACTCGTTTTATTTATATGTCCCCGTCTGTTGAACTCTAACTTCCCATGTGGGGATATGAGAGAAGCTTCCCACAGGATGGAAAACATCAATCATCTGGCTGTATCCTGGGCAACATCCTTGCAGACAGCCAATTATCTCACACCAGAAACAACTTGATTTCTCAAGTCGCTTCTGACACACAAAAAATTATATGCTGTCTTTCTTTTGGAGTGGGGCCCAAGGCAGCTTCCAAAAACAACGAATTAAAACAATTTTGGCAATTAAAATTATATAATTTAAAATAGATTTTAAAATAAAAAAATAAAAAATTGAAATATACGTATGCCATGGACTTAAAAGAAAATTGGTTTAAAATGTTTTATAGATGGTATACTACACCTAAACAACTGGCCCAAATGTATAAAAATTAATTGGATAAATGTTGGAAATGTCATGAGCAAGCTGGTTCTTTTTTTCATACATGGTGAACTTG